CTGAAGTGGGGCTTAGGGTCGTTCCTCTTGTAGTTGGTTGGCTTTGCTTGGCAAAAAGTAAGGTGGACAGAAGTTCTCATTGATTCTGCCTCTCCCACCCCAAGGCAACACCTGTGCCGCGCCCGGCGCTACTGCCATGACTTGGGTGACCGGGTCGAGGCTCTGCACACAAGGGTGGAACAGCTTGTGCAGCAGGCCAGCCGCCAGGCCGACTCCTCTGTCGCCCTTTACTACTTCAATGCCTCTCTCTATCTGCTGCGTGTGTTGAAGGGCAACACTGTCAAGAAGGTCATCCACAAGAGCCAGAAGCAGAAGAGAGCCAGCACCAACATAAGCTCCGAGCCACAGGAGCCACAGGTAAGCCAGGCCTGTCCTGAAAGGGCTTGGGAGGGGCCCTAAGCTCAGCACAGGAGGGGGGGTGCCATCTCCAGCATTTTACACCTGGGGGTTTGAAGATAAGATTTCCCTGGGACCCAACCCTTGGCCTTCTGAAGGCAGTCTGGGCTCTGCTCTCATCCTCACCCTGCCTCTCACCTGGCCCAGGCTGCCAGCTGCTTGGACTTGAACCTCGTGACCTCGATATATTCAGGAGCACTGAGTTCCTTCCTGACCAAGCGCAACAGCCCACTCACTGCTGCCATGTTCCTCAACCTCTTCTCCCGGTTCCCAGTAAGTATCAGAGCCAGCCAAGCCCCCTAAGGGTCCCTMCCCAGTCCAATTACCACCTTATGGCTCTTGTCATCCCCTACAGGTGATCTGTAAGAACCTGCTCCCCATCCTGATTCAGCATGTTGCTGGCCCAGCAAGGCCCCGCCATCAGGTAAGGGCCTTCCTTGGTCCCAGCAGAGCCTATGTGAATTACTTGCTTAGCTCCCTTCTGCCTGAGTATTAGTGAAGCCCAGAAGCCCTGCCCTGCTGGTCTTGGCTGTGGTGCATGCTCTTCAACAAGCAGGATGGCTGATCTGAGGGGCAAGGCCAGCTTTGCTCTTGTAGCAACCACTTTCAATCTGGCCTGAGCCCTTAATCTCCCTGCAAGAGAGGCACAAGAGATGCCTGGGTGTCTGGTTGGGTGCTGAGGCTGTTGAGGCGGCTGGAGGGAGGTGGCACTAAGTTTATAAGAGGGCCAGGAACTATCCCAACCTCAGATCCCGCCCCCAGCCACTTGGGCCCCTTGCCTGTCCCCAGACCTCAATGTCTTCCACCTATATGAGAAGGGACACAGGTGGATGATCACAGAGCCAGAACAGCAGGGAGTTCATTGTGCATCACCTAGAGCCACGTGACCTTATTTATGAGGTGTCCAGTGGATTCCTGAGCTCTCAGTGGTTCCTGAGCCTTGGCCCAGCTTACCAAGGCCCCCGGTAACCACCATCAATCTCCTTGCTGCAGATCCAGGCCTGCCTGTTGCTCCAGAAGACTTTACCCAGGGGGGAGCTGAGACCATGTTTTGAGGAACCTGAGTGGGAGCAGCTGATTGTCCAGATTCTGGTGAAGGTTACTGAGGTAACAGCCATGGAGCGCCCTCCTCCCARTGCATCAAGAATGGTTCTCTGGGAACTTGAGCCTCCAGAGTGTGGTTTGAGGGTGTCCCAAGAGACATTTCCTCCCTCTGGGTTTGTCTGGTGAGTGGGAATGGACAGAAAAGCTGTCCACTGGGASGGCAGCTCTCCCAGTGCCTGATTCTGACTACTTCCTCCCTAGAATCTGCGCACGCTGGGGGAGGCGCAGAACAAGTCGGAGCACCAGAAGGAGCTATCTTCCCTGGGGCTGCTCAACATTCTCCTCAAGAGTCACAAGGTGAGGCAGCAGCCTTGCAGCTGGGCCCAGTCAGGAACTTRCATTGCATAGGGTTCTGGCAGCAGACTTCCTGGGAGAGTCAGGGCTTCATGGCAGCACGGAGATCACCAGGCAGGACTGTGGCGGCTGGGTGCCAGTGGGAAGAATCAGACTGTCCTGATTTAAGTGACTATAGAGCCATGTGTGGTTGAAGGTGACACTTGGGAAGACAGCACCACACCTGTGGCTGACAAGGTGGAGGTGGGTATGGGGTGTTTGCAGGCTTCAGTAAGAGAACTGAGAAGGGTCTAGGAGCACTGGAGGCAGTGGGTGGAGTTGGAGAAGATTGAGTGTGGACAGCAACTAGGAAGGAAGCCGGGCCTTGAACAAGAGGACATGGAGGGGTGCTGAGGAGTTGAGTCGAAGCTGGTGGGGTATGAGATGTTCACAGACTGTCAAGGTAGAGAGGCAGCTGGAAATGGGCCTCTGGGCCCGTCAGTCTGGCCAGAGGGAAGGGTTTCAGCCAGGGTGGAAGGCAGGCTTGGGCTCTGAGCAGTGCTAAAGRGAGAAGGCAGGGCTCAGGGCAGAACCTTGCAAAACAGCAACATAGGGGTAGCAGCTGGACTAAGGCAGGAGGCCTGGGGCCCAGGAGCCAGGGAGAGGCCCTGCCTCCCATCACCACCGCAGCTCCAGCCTTCCCTWCCTCTGCAGAGGCGGGCTGGGAACCTGACCACACTCCTAGATGTGCTGCAGGGCCGGCAGCAGATCCTGCAGCAGAGCTTGCAGCAGGGAGAGCACTTGATTGGCTCCACCCGCCTCCACGACCTCTACTGGCAGGCCCTGAAGATGCTGGGAGTCCAGTACGTTCTGGGAGGATGACCCTTACCTTAGGAGGGGGCTGGAAAGACCCTCCCACCAATGCTGCACCTATTTTGGTTTGCGTTCTTGGGCATGGGAGCTTTGGGTACCTGGGTCCCACAGGAACTCAAGGTAGAGGTGGCCCTGCCCTCACTGGATACTTTCTTGCCTTGCTCACTACCTCCCAGGCGCCCAAAGTTGGAGAAGAAGGATGCCAAGGAAGTTTCCAGTGCCACCCAGAGTCCTGTTAGCATGAAGCGGAAGAAAAAGGGGTTCTTGCCAGAGACCAAGAAGCGTAAGAAACGCAAGTCAGAGGATGTCACAGCCATAGCCACCGGTGAAGACCAGCCCCCAAGCACGGGCAAAAGGAGGAGGAAGAAGATAAAAGCCAAGACCTCAAAGCTGCAAAACAGAAGCGAGAAGCTGTCCCAAGTGAATGGAGTCACTCCCACATCCCCGGCAGAGCCTGCAGGCAAAAAGCAACAGCAGAAGGCTCTTCCCAAAAAGGAGGTCTCAGGCAAATCCCCACAGTCCGCCCTGCCTCGGAAGAAGGCAAGGCTGTCTTTGGTCAAGAGCCCTAGCCTGTTCCAGGGTGGGGCCAAGAGAAAGCGAATGATGCGCAAGAAGGGGCGAGTGGCACAGACACCTGCCTGCCCTTCCTCCCCCGCCACCAGAAGCCCCGTAGACTCCTAGTAGATACCAACTGCTGCCTCTGGGGAGTGGGTCAGTTGTTAGTCTGTCAGGCCGTATTTCCCCAGGGGTCCCAGGGTGGTACTTAACACCGGAGCTGTGGGGTGAAGTCAGGCCAGYGCAGGTGTGATCATTTCCTGGGTGCAACCCCTACCCATCCCTAGACCATTTTGCAACAAGAGCCATCAGGACATGATTTAAATAGGTTTATTTCTTCATTTACAAGAGGAATATATTTGGCTTMTCTCTTAAGACTCTGAGATTCACAATCAGCAGCTCTAAAAAATAAAGGAGCAGTTTGGCTTCCGGAAGGAAGAGGAGGCAACACTGGACCTGGTTCTTGTACAACAAGAAAACATTGCTGGGGCCCCGGCTGAGGCTGGGTGGAGGCCAGACTGGTCTTTGGGGGATACCATCCCCACCCCACTCCCTTGTCTAGCCCCCAGGGTGCCCCAGAGCTTGGTGGGGTGGGTATTCCACTAGCTAACACCACTGAAGCCACAGCCAGCCAGTAACTAAGGGGCAAAGGGAGCATTGTCCAAGCTCAGGGTCTCCTATGGGCCATGACAGCCCCCCCTGGACCAGAGCCACCTTGATTGCAGCAAATGTGCAAGGGGGTATGGAGGCGGTGGGGATCAGCTTCCCCAGGGGCTGGTGTGAGGTGGCAGCTTTACCTTAGTGTRTGGTTTCAAGGATAAGTGTGTGTACAGAGATGGGACTGGGTGAAGGCCTGCCCCCCGCCCCAGAGTCAGCTGGGAGTGTGTGTATGCGCGYGCCTGTGAACCACTGCAGCCTGTGGCTGGTGGTGTTGGCTACTGGACAGGCCTCAGCCTCCACAGACCATCTCCTGGGCAGGAAGCTGAGTGCATAGCTGCGTCCTCCAGCAGCCAGAGCGCTGGCTACTGCCCCCTGGGTTCTGGGAATTGCTCTCTGGGCCTCATCCTTGGAAAAGGCTCAGCCAGCCTGGAGGGAGGGAGTGGGCCCCTGGCTGTCTGTGGGGTGTCAGTGAAGGTGCTCCAGGGGTCCAGCAGAGGTGGGCTAATGGGTAGCTCCCAGAGATTTCAAGCCGGGTGTACAGCTGCTGCCAGCTCCCTGTAAAGGGACAGTCCTCACCTGAGACCTCCAGGTGAAGAGCCAGCCTAAGGCAGCAGGGACAAGTGTCCTCCAGAGTGACCAGCCAGGGTAGGAAGCACCCAGTGAAGGGTGYTGGGTTCCATGTGCCAGCTTGAATCCAAGGTCAGAGCATGGTCTCTGTGCCAAGCCCTTCATGGGGCTTCAGAATTTGAATTGTGGCTCTGAGGCCTGAGCCATATCTTCTTGGTATAGTCCAGCACCCACTGGGTCTTCAAAGCTGTGTAGAGTGCCTTGCCCAACATACTGTGYGGGGAAGTCCAGCCCCCTGGCCCCATGACCTTGGGAGGGCAGGGGCTTGCCCAAGATCACATAAGCTGGTGGCAGGCCAGGTTCTCCCAACACTCCCACTTGGGGCTGTCTTCTCCCTTGGCCCCAGGGCCCCTGAAACCCAAACCCAGGACTGGGAATCTGTCCAACTGAGTGGCTCCAACACACACAGCCTTCCAGGTTAACTGAGGACGCAGCCTCCTCTTGGAGCCAGGGCCACTCAGCAGTCCTAGGCCATAGAGAATGGGTGCCCAGCTGTGAGTCACACAGAAAGCTTTGRGACAGCCCTATAGGTCCGGGATGCTGAAGGACATCTCCCAGACTAGGGAGGAGCGAGGGTTCTTCACTGTCCCAGCAGCACCTGAAGGGGGAGATGTTAGGTCAGAGGTGAGGCTTTGGGGGCACATTCCAAGCCTTCCCTCCTTCATTTCCTTGCTGTTTGGGCCAACAGGCCTTCCTCTGGAGGCCGAGACTGGTCTTGCACTGCCAGGAAGCTCTAGTTCCTGAGGCCAGGCCCTAAGGAAGATCACAGCAGGAGTTGGGCTCTGCCAGCTCTAGGAAGATTTGGAAGTGCAAAGCTGGGGAGTTCCTGGTCAGTCCCAGCCCAGACCCACAACCTCAGCGCTTCTGAGGGAGGGAGGGAGGGAGGGAGCTAATCTAACAGAAGCCTGCCTGCCTTGCCTAAATCAGTAATCTCTGGGCAACACTGCAAGAAGAGACCAAACCCAAGGTTGGTGGGATGAGCTTCTCCGGGATGTCAGGGAAGTTGCTCCGCTAATACCCTGTCCCTCTCCCACGGGCCTGTGGCCTGCACTCACCACCTCAGACTTTCATGGATGCGGGTGGCATCACCAGCTGGTTCACCCTGGGGGAGAGACGGGCGGGGGTCAGGGTGGCGCATCAGCGGGGGCCGGGCCCGGGCACAGCTCTGGCACATCGCATCGCAGGGGCCGGCTGACCGGAGGTGCTGGGCAGGGACCTCGTCAACCCCAGGGGGAGGTGGGAGAGCCCAGGGGTGAGGAGAGAGAGAGAAAGAGAGGAGTAAAGAGAAGAGGAGAAAGAAGTCAGAAAATGAGAGGAAAAGGAAGGTTAGAGGGTCCCAGCTCTGAAAACCCTGGACCTAGGAACCCAAACCCCATCTAGAACCACTGCAGACTACCTGGGGCCACTACTGGCCCAGTGTGTGATGGAGGCTGGGAGCTGGACCTTGGCAAGGCCTGTGGCCGAGGTGTGGTGGGGCTGGGCCCTGGACTACAGCATCAGGTTACCCCCACCCCAGGACAGCGTGGAGGGGCTGCCACGCTGTCCCTGCTTCACAGGGCCACCCCCTGCCCCACTCACTGCTGCTCAGCCTTGGCACGGTCACTGAGGAAGAAGAGAGCAGTGGCGAGGAAGAACATGCCACCCAGGACCACGACGAAGGGGCAGAGCATGAGGGCATAGCCCAGGCTCAGGAACTCCCAGAGCGGGGAGTCCTTGGTGCTCTGGCGGATCAGGTCCGAGATCTGTGAGGATTTGGTGGGGACGGGGGTGAGGGCAGGGCCACCTCCTGAATTCSCCCAACCTCCCCAGGCCAGTCCCACTCTCTGAGCCACTCACAAAGCCTATGAGGTAGGGGCTTCCGGCATCGCCMAGCAGATGAGAGGTGAAGCTCTGCAAGGCCACCGCAGTGGCCCGGCGGGTGGGAATGACCACGTACTGCAGGAGACAGAGGCAGTCAGTGGCCGGAGGGGCCAGGCCCACCCCACGCCCAGTCCTATTCCTACAGTATGACACTTCTAAAGCCCCTACTGCCTCGGACTCCTGCCCTGGTGTCTTCCCCTTGCCCCTGGGGGTTCCTCTGTCCCCTTCCCCTGCCCTCTCCTTCCCTGCCTACCCTGTAGGTATGGCTGTCCCTGTGGTTCCTCTGCTCTTCCTGCCTGGAGCTGTGTCATACCCACAAACAGCTCTGRTCACTACTGTCCCCAGCCCAGGCCACTCTGTCCTCCTCTAGACCTCCCTTCATCTCAGAGACAGAAACCTTCATCTCTATCCTTACCACATCCAGTCAAGGAGAGAACAGTTTGGGGGTTCCCCRGGACCAGCCCACACCAGCTTCTTCAGGCCAGAGCTCTTTGAGCCTTTGGGAAGCTGAACCCTGAGGAAGAGCTGCCRCCTCCCCGACCCACTCTCCCTCTGCTCAGGATGTTCTGCACTTGGCAGGGAGCTAGGTGCTATGGTCAGTGGACACTGATGCCCAGAGAGGAGCCAGCCATTCCTGTGGATCACAYGGAGTCCTGCAGTTCTAGAACTAGAACTGTGACCTCTTGCCCTCACCTCCCACCAAACATCTTGTGTCCCCCTCCATGTAGACCAAGCAAGACTAAGGCTGGGACAGTGGGGACATGTGGAACAGGGCCCTGACCAGAAAAACTTCCTCTTGAATCTATGGGCACCCCAAGTACTAAATGCCAAGAATTGCTGGGCCTCAGACACACCCCCATCAGTCCAAGCAGGCTCTGACCCCTCTCCAAGTCAAGACAGAAAGGGTGGCAGAAGAGCAAAGCAGGCAGGGGGTGCCCTTTGTCCCTGAGCCCAGCCTCACCAGCTCAAGGTTGTGGACAATGTGGGAGCAGTCAGCATCCACCAGGCACCGTAACTGGGRGAGAGAGACCTGGATCTCCCAGGTTAGATTAGATTGCGTGGCCCCATTTCCAGCAATAATTAGTCACTTAACTGTGACACTTAATAAACTGGGACATGATTTCCCTGGGATCCAGACCTTGTCAGCAGCTGTCCGGGGCTGCCCCTGGGAATGAGACAGGGAGGAAGTGCTGCCTGGCACCAAGGGCTCTTGACGCACACGGACTGGCTCCCTGCTTCACTCTGGGGCCATCCAACCCCTGCCACCACCCAGCCCTGCACTGAGACACAGAACTGAGTCAGAAGCCCACCACCTCCACCCAGACATGGCCTGATGGGGGACAAAGAGCGATGGCAAGGGGAAGCAAAGAAGAGGGAGGCTTGGGGCGGGGCAGGGCAGACTTCCTGAAGCAGAGGGCTAGCAGGGGCCCAGTGCCAGACAGAATGTGACCTCCTGGGCAGTCCCATGTTTCCAGGCCAGACTCAGAGCACCCTCAGTATCTCTCTCCCCTACACCTCCGGGCATTCTCCCCCAYGCCGGTCCTCTGTACTTCTTCTCTTAGTCCTCTCCTGACCCTGACCAGGAGGGTCCCCAAGGAACAAGGGTCATATCCACCCTGCCCCCCACCCAGAGTACCACAAGTAACTAGACCCACTGCCCACTCCTGGCTCCTCCCAGGCTGCTCCCATCCCCACCCAGGGACACAAGCCCCTGCCGGCTGCTCAGACAGCCCTTTGTCCCTGGCCTGCTGGTCTGCAGCCCATTGTTGGCCCTGTGAAGACGGCCTCTGTCCATCCAGCCCAGCCACAGGCCCACAGGCAGGCAGGCGTGCCTGGGACCCAGGCTGAGCCGGGAGGGCAGAGTCCACGGACTTTCAGACCCTGGGGGAGGAGTGCTGGCAGGCAGCACCACCTCGGTGCCAGCCTGGCACCACCAGCCTCCCAGCCACAAACCTGAGCCTCCAGACAACTCCCTTTCCCACCCCCACATTTTATCCTGGCTGCCGGCTCAACCGCTGTTTTCAGGGCCTGCCCTGGTGTAGACCTCCAAATCTCTAATCCACTCCCTGCCTCTGGGTTCACCCTCCCAGCAGGCCTCCCTGCYGAGCCCTGCCAGCTCTCCCACCTCCTCACTCCCCCCACCCCAGCTGCCCCTGTGAGGTTAAGGTCTGGGTCAGCACATGGTGACCTCAGCCTGCCCGGCTCACCATGAGGATGTCCGCAGTGATGGCCCAGTTAGAAAATAGCAGTGTCTCCCCAACGAAGATACAGATCTAGCCAGGAGAGAGAGAGAGAACAATCATCAGGCAAGCCCTCCACCCACTGGCAGCCCCATCATACTGGCTCCTATCATGGAGCCCCAAAGCCTCCAACCCTCCCAGGGGACCCCCACCTCCTGATGGTCAGGCTCTTGAGGAATGGGTCAAGCCATGCCCACAGCGCTGAAGGACACCCAGAGGCCCTGAACTGAGCAAAGGCAGGCAGGCGACCAGAGGACAAGAGCCTCCCCGTGGGGACAGGGGGTTCAATGAGTCAAACTGCACTTCCAAGCCCCCGAGCCTCCTGCCCCCCTACACTCACATAGGCGCCCACAATGCTGCTCTTGGCAGCCACGAAGATCAGGCAGATGAAGATGGCGGAGCCCAGCATTCCCACAGCACACACCAGTGGGTCGGCCCGCTGGGTCCTCAGGCGGCACCAACGCGTAGCTCCTGCACCAGTGACCACACCCAGGAAGCCCGTAAAGCAGGTGATGGCCCCAAAGATGAGGCTATGAGGACACAAGATAGTGTAGGGTATGAGTGGAGTAAGGTGTGAGTGGAGGGGGACATGGCTGGGGCAGAGGTGCCCTCTCATCCAGTGTTCCTCACCACCCAGGGTCCAGCTGAGCAAGGCCTACCTGTCCTTGGCCCCGCAGGGCGGGCTGCTGCATGGCTCTGCTGTCTTCTGCACAACTTGGGCACGGTGCAGATAGAGCGGGATCCACATGCCCAGGGCCCCTGTGGCGAAGGACACGGCCGACGTGGCCAGGGAGGAGAAGACGTAGCTGCGGCTGGGGAAAGGCCAGGGCAATGACACTGAGCTGAGGCCAGAAGCCCCAGCAGCTGGAGTAAGCAGCCCCAAGCATGGTGGCCCAGGAGGCTGCCTCTTCTCCCCCCCACACCCAGGTAAAAGCCTGTCTCCCCCAGACAGGCCTCACCCCACACAGGCTCCAAGGTGAGGCTTCAAGCTGCAGGAATAACCAAGTCTAGGGGCCAAAATGTCACTGCCAGCACTGCAGACACCCAGATGGCAGGTGTCCGGGTGAGGGTCCTGGGMGGGCTACCCCAAGAGCAGGGCCCTCACGTGGCCGCACCCCTCCTTCTCCCTACCAGACTCCTCCCAGCAGTACTCACTTTCGGATCAGAGCCTTCATGTCCCGGAGCCACGATGTCCGTGCCTTGAGCTGTCCCCCGAGCTGGTCGGCATGACCTCTTTTRGTGGCTGGGACCAGGACAAGGATGAGTGTTCCTGTGATCATGCCCAGGACAGGGGACACCTGGCAGAGCGGGAAGCATGAARTCAGGACACTAGGGCCCTGTGAGCTTTGTTTGCCACGCCTTCCCTAGGTTCCAGACCCTTCCTCTGGACTAAGACCCGTCCAGCCTTCCTGGCAGGACCACTGAGGAAAGTGACTGGGGATGAGGTCAGAGAAGGGCTCTGGGGTTCAAAGTGAACTGTCCCATCCAGAGAGGAGGAGGCAAGAAAGACTGATAGGCTGAAAGGAAGGAGGGAGGGATACATGGATGCTTGAATGAACAATGGAAAGACAAAGATGTGGAGATGGAGAGAGATGGAATGACAATCTTGGGGGAGGAAAGAGAAAGTTCCTGAGGGTGGAGAGCCAGAGACAAGCCCTGCCCAATCCCCTGGGGCTGGGAGTGTTCCCCAGACCCGTTCCTCACCCCTTGGGGCACTGGGAAGTGACTGGCCGTGCATGAAACCTCCAGCTAATAGATCAAGTAGGCTATCCTTGAGAGATGCCCATGTGGGTCACTTTGGGTCTTCCCTGTGTCCAGCCTAGTGTCAAGAACTGACTCCAATGCCGCAGGTCTCTGTCCCCTACAGGAGAGGGGCCTCACAGCAGCCCAGATTCCTACACAACAATCCCTGAATCCACTAACCCATGAGAAAAGAGAAATTTGTCCCCACCCCCACAGGCCTGGGAGCCCTTGGGCTGGGGAGTTCCTATCCATGCCAGCCCCTCTCGCCCCCCACCAAGAAATTCCACGGAGGCTGCTCCCTTCCTGCTTTTGAGGAAAAAACACTTTGTCTTAGGCTTCCGCTCCTCCGAGAGACGGGGGATCTCTGTTTCCTCCGATTGCACTGTCCTGGGGCCTTGGTAACTTGCCCCCAACCCTCTGGCGGGACAGGAAGTGGCTCCAGACCCCAAGGGCCTCCACATAGAGGTCTTGTCCCAGCCTCACCCTAGCACAGAGCCAGGACTGGAAGCAGGAAGCTCCGCCATGGATCTGGAATTTCCTGACACGGTGAGAGAATCCTTCGTCCTGTCAACCTGGGGCTGGGCAGGGGTGGGGGTGGGGGTTAGGGATGTTTCCAACCCTGAGACTGAGGCCCTGAGGGCAGTGAGGCTGTCCAACTCCCCAGAGACCTCAATCTGGACTAATCTAGAAGGACAAGACCGCAGAGGCCAGGTTGCCCCTGGAAAGTCTGCTCAAGGCCTGTGCCCTAGCCTGGGCAAAGCTGGCATCTCTGGACCAGCAGGGGCAAGGGCTGGACTGGGGGGGGGGGTGACCTCCTGGGAGGGTACCTAGGCCTTACCCGCAGGGCCCAGTGCCAGTCTCCAGCCGCTTGCTTCACACTGGAGCCAGTGATGTAGCCCAGGCCRCTGCAGAGGAGACAGACACATGTCAGCGTATGCAGAGACAGGGACTGGGGTGCGGTGTGCTCCCTGGTCTACGGGGCAGGCCACCTGCCCTCGCCACTCAGCCAGCCAGTCAGCCAGGCATCGGGTCAGGGAATCCTCCAAGGCTGACTACTCAAGTGTCTGGTTCACTGAGGGGGTGGTGGGAAGACCCCTCCCGGATCCTCACCCAAACCAAGACACCTCCCCTCTCACCTGCCCAGTGGGATGGCAAAATAGAAGACAGACAGCATGAGTGTGCGCGTGTTCTTGGTGAAGAGGTCGCCAATGATGGTGGGCGCGATGGTGGAGTAGCTGGCCTCGCCAATGCCCACCAGACCCCGGGACAGGACCAGCAGCCAGAAATACTATAGGGGAACRACAGACAATGTTGGGGACGGCCCTGCCCTGCTCCTCGGCCTGCACATCCTTGCCTCCACTGTGCACCCCATGCCCTTCAGGGTCCAGGAGCCAGGGGAGAAGATGGAACCCAACCTTTGCCTCAGCGGTGACTCCAACCCCAGGCCACCCGGGCTTCAGGTTACCCCGACACCCAGGTTGAGAGCAGTATGGCTCTTGGTCCCCATAAGCACTAGGGATATAAGCCTGTGTCTCTACCTGGGAGACTTCTTCCCCGATCCTGGCCCCAACTTAGGAGCCGCAGGTCACCCCTCAACTCTGTGCTCATCCCCCAAGTAGGGCAGGTGGGCCAATCCTGGCAGCACTGAGAGCCCAGTGTGAGCAGGGAACACGTAGAGCAGCCCAGAGGACTCAGAGTCCCTCCCCCCACACACATCAAAGGGCAAAGCCAGCTGAGCTGGGAAGGGTGGGGCCATGCCAGCTGCCGGTGGTCCTACCCCTTTGATGTGGACCTGCCCCCTCGGTCCCCCCAGCTGCCCAGGGCTTGAGAACCCAGCCTGGTCATCTTTCCCCAGCCCCACCCTGACCACCCATCCGGCCAGCATCGCCCACATCCAGCCTCCCCCGGGCTCCCCGATTCCCTCTCTCTAGTCTCTCCTCTGGCTCCTGGCAGATCCTCTGCTACAGTGCTGGCCCTTCACCTTGACCCCCTTGTTTCTGTAGCTATGTCACCCACTCCCTGAAGACTCCTGGTCTTCCCTTAGCTCTTTGCCTGATTCTCTTCCTGGGTCTCATCTGCCCATAGCCTTTGCCTCTGGGCTGTCTGGGTTTTTTTTTTTTTTTTTTTTTCTGTATTGATTTATATTAGCTTTTTCTCCACAGAGCTTGCTCCTTTATCATCTGTGTCCCCGCCAGCTTCTGTCATTTTTCTCTCCACTTTGTTTATGGAGAGTTTACACCCTTTTGCAGGCTTCCGGATGTTCTCTTTGATTTGATGCCGTCAAATCTGTTGATTTTTCCTGAAAGCCTTGTTCAGGAAGGTCTACTCCATCCCCGAAACACAAAAACATTTCTCTTCTATTTTATGTGTGTTCCGTTTGAGAGAGAGGATGAGAGGTGGGGAGATGCGTCAATCATCCTCAGYGCAGTAGCCAGCCACTGCACCCACGGAAGCCCATGGGACCGTGTACTTGCTATGAATCCGTCTGTGCCTGCATTGCACATGTAGGTACCAATAAACAGCACTCAGTGTCCTCTGTGTGCYTGGAAAACATGCACGTAAAAGGGACCATCCCAAATCCCACCACTTGCTTTCCCGTTCATTCTTATCTTTTTGAAACCCATTTGCACTGGTTAGCACAGATCTAGTTCATCCTTCCACTGCCCAGAGTCTCACAGTATTAATACACCCCATTTATCTGTGCAGTCCCCTAGACAGCTTCCTCTTTTATTTTCTAGGACAGTATTACAGCGAGCACCCATGCACACTCGAGCCCACAAGTTAGAGTTGCTCTCTTGTCCRTATAAGGCTGGGCCAAGCAGGGTGCACAGGGAGAATTTTACAATTTCTTGCCATTCTGATCTCCAAAGAGACTCCTACCAATTTACACTCCCCACCAACAGCGCCTGAGTCCCGGATTCCCCACAGCTGTAATAACACTTGGTATTGTCAGCCTTTTTAATTGTCGCCAATCTGATGGGTGTGAAATGGTATCTCATTGTTGTTTTAATTTGCATTTCCCTGATTACTCGAGAGGCTGAGCCATCCCTTCCTACATTTATTGGCCACTTGTGTGTTTTCTCCTGGAAAGGCCTATAATGATCCTGGGGCTTGTTTTTCTACTGGGTTATTTGTCTTTTCCTTATTGATTTATAGTTCCAGATTTTTAGCTTGTGTTTTGGCTTAACTTTTCGCCTATCTGGAATTCATTTTGCAGTATGGTTTGAAAACCAGATCAAACTTTATTTTTGATCCAGATATAGATAGTTCTCCCCAAGCCACTGGATCTGAGATGCAACTTCTATCTTACATTAAAGCCGGGTAGACACAAGGAGTCRGTTTCATTGATCTCTAAGTCTATCCCTCGGCTACTGTAGTTAGAATAGYCATTAATTTGATAACTGATAGGACAAATTCCCCTCTCGTTGTTATTTTTCACATTGTTCTTGGCTGTTCCTGGGCATTTTCTCTGCCAAATTAACTCCAGAATCACATTGCCAAGGTCCACCAAAAACCCCCATGGGACTCGGGCTGTGATTGCAATGAATTTACAGATTAATTGGAAGTGATCTGTTCCTCTGCCTTTGTTCATCTTATCTCCCCAACTCATAAGGAAACCAAATCTTGTTATTGTGGTCCAGTATTCACTGGTCAGTTCCAGAAGCAGCCTCAGGGGTCTCCTTGGGGCAGGACAAGGCCCAGGGAGGCCCGAGAGGCTTCTGGTCCAGTCTCCATATCCTACTGTGGCTGCCAGGCTGCACCTGGCACTGGGCCTGGAACTCCCCTAAGCCTGACCCTCCCCCATGAAGCAAAGTTGTTCCCCACAAATCTGTAGGTTCTTTGCCCTCATCTTCACTCTCCCCTTCATCAGTGTGAATCTGACCCTGACCTTGTCCTTGTTGAAACTTTTCCAGGGCTCAACAGGCACACCAGTCCCCCCCATGAATCAGTCCCTGCCTTCTTTCCAGCCAAAACACTCACCTCCTGGTTCTCCCGACACCTCTGCCATTCGGCACCTGTGAGTGTACTCCTCTGTCCAGGACATCGTCACCAACAGACCTAGCCTCCCAGTCCCAACTGCCTGGCTCAAGTGCTACCTCCTCCAGGAAGGTTTCCCCGACCCCACAGATTGCAAGAAGCTGTGCTGTCTTTCATGAGAACTCAGCATATTGCAGGTCTTAAGGCTCCAAGCCAGGGACTCCTGTCACATCTGCCCAACCCAGGCTCCCAAGGTCAGGGCCAAACTGAAAGTTCTTGAACACAGATCCCGACTTTCCCTTTCTTCCTCCACCTCTCTCTACAGCAGCTGTCCATGATGGCCCACCCTCTGCTTGAATACTCCTACTGATGGGGAAACTCACTACCTCCCAGGGCAACATATCTCCTCTTTGGAAGAAAGAACAGAAATAGAGCTGTGTTGAACATTTTCCATGTTCCAGGATCTGGACGTTCATTCACTTACTTGTTTCTCACAAGAAACTTTCAAGTATTATCCCCATTTTAATAATGAGGAAATTGAGGCTCAGAGTTGTTCCAGGTCCCAAAGCTGAGTGGGCAACAAGAGTTGGGATACTCCAGCCCAGGACTGTGAGAGCCAAAGCGAGAAGCATCTTTATTTGAATTGATGCTTCCTTCCCTGGAACTTGGACTCAAGCACGTGGCTGGCCATCTGACAAAGGGCAAATTGAACAAGAAACAGAAAGGGGAAGGGACTCACCCAGGGTCACATAGCAGGCCCAGGGCTAGAAGCCAAGGTCCTCACCCCTAGGCCAGATTTGTGTCCACATTCCTTGTACCTTTCCCAAGTCAGAGGGAGGCTCAGAAAGAGTCAGGATKTCACCCAGGCTGCACGGCCCTCAGTTACAGCCACCTGGGGCTAGACCTATCTGCACAGTTGATTTACAAAAGCAGTGAAGACCCCCCCACCCCTGCCTTCTGCACTGTTAAGGCACCGTCCAGGGTTTAAGCTAAGGAGCCAAAACTCCCAATCAAGGYGAACAAAGCCTCGTCACCCAATGGAGGGGCCAGGAGGGTGGGCCTCACCTGCTGGGGGATGAAGGAGCTGGAGAAGGTGACTGCTGACCAGAAGAAAATGCCGCAGCTGAGGATCACCTTTCTGTTGAAGCGGTCACCCAGGTAGCCGAAGATGGGGGCAGCCACCATGAAGCTGCAGATGAACACTGTGCGGGGAGAGGAGAGCTGGAGGGGCGGCACAGGGTCCCTAGGCTGGGCCCAGCTACCCAAGGCCAAGTGCCCATGATACAAAGCTCAGCCTGGACCCCGACCAAGGAAGCTGAGCCCCTGCCCCAGGGAGGGAGAAAAGCCTGGCTGGGTTAGGGTGATACAGAGACCACATCCTCTTCAATGCATGTCCATTTTGCCATTTTCTTTACACCAAGTGCTGTGGTCAGGGCGCACCACCGTATTTCAGCTCACCACCCACCGCCCCAATGAGGAGACAGGTTCAGAGATGGAAGGTGACTTATCAAGACCCCACAGGCAATAAATGTCCTCGTGGGAATCTTGACCTCCAGAGCCCATGTTCCTTACACTTTGCCACATAGCTCTCTCTCTCTTTTTTTTTTTTTTTAAGAGAGAGAGAGAGAATTTATTTAGTTAGTTAGTTAGTTTTCGGCGGACACAACATCTCTGTTTGTATGTGGTGCTGAGGATGGAACCCGAGCCGCACACATGCCAGGCGAGCGTGCTACCACTTGAGCCACATCCCCAGCCCCCACGTAGCTCTCTTTATTGTACTTGGTTCAGAGAGATGAAGGGATCTACCTAAGTTCACACAGCCAATCAGGGCAGGACTGGGCCTGGCACGGCAGCTCTCAGTACCTGCCAGATCACCCAGCTACCTTCACTCCCAGGCTGCAGAGGCTTCCTGACAGTTTGTAACCCTGTCATGCATTCATTCATCTATTCATTCAACTGAAATGTTCTTGGTCCCTATAATGTACCTGGTAATGTTCTAGGTGTTTGGGATAYAGCAATGAATAAACAAAGTTCCTGCCCTCTCGGAGCTTTCTTTCTAGTGAGGAGAATAGACAATAAATAAATAACAGTTTATCAGATGGTKATAGGTGCTAAGGAAGGTAAAAGGGCAGAAACAGGAGACTAAAAAAAAAAAAAAACATGCATAAAATAGAGAAAGAGAAAGCAGAGGTTTCYGTTTAAAATAGAAGGATTGGGCTGGGGATGTGGCTCAGTGGTAGAGCACTCGCCTAGCACGCATGAGGCACTGGGTTGGATCCTCAACACCACATATAAATAAATAAAGTATTGTGTCCAACTAAATATATATACAAGGGGGCTGGGGATGTGGCTCAAGTGGTAGCGCGCTCGCCTGGCATGCGTGCGGCCCGGGTTCGATCCTCAGCACCACATACCAACAAAGATGTTGTGTCTGCTGAGAACTAAAAAATAAATATTAAAAAAATAATTAAATAAATAAATATACAAATATATGTATTTTTAAAAAATTTAAAAAAGAAGTATCAGAAAAGGTGGCATTTCAGCAAAGATACAGAGGAGGTGAGGAAATAAATCATGCTACCATAAGGGTAAGAACAGCGAGTGCAAAGGGCCTGGGACAAGAGTGTACTTAGCATGTTTGAGAAAAAGCAAAGAGGCGAGGAGAGGCTGGGGCGAGGGACCAAGAGGGCAAAGGGCAGAGACAGCGTTGAGAGGCCAGAGAGGGTAGAACAGTGTGGCCCACTGAGACTAGCGTGACTCCAGGGGTGAGAAGGGGAATACTAGAGGAAGCTGAGCTGGTTTGGTTCTTCCAGAACAAGGGAGCAGTAGAGCCTTAGAGGACTTCACAGGGAGGCCCCCCGTCAGTGACAGGAAGGGGTTTAACGGTCACAGGAATGAAGAGACCTAGGAGGAGGCAGGGTAGACCCTAGGTCACATAGCAAGGCAGCCCCCTCCCTCCCCACAGAAGGCGGTCCCACAGCTGACAGGCAGATGGCCAGACAAAGGCCCAGTGGGCTGCCGATGACCACCAGGCTGAATGTGGTCATGGGCTCAGCTGCTCCCTCCATGGACCCGAGTCCCCAGGGAGACGGGGACTAAAAGAGGCAAGGGAAGGAAGAGGGCAGGGACGGGGGTGAACAAGGAGAGAGAAGGCAGAGGGCAGAGGTCTCCTGACTAGGCTGGAAAGGTGGGGTTGTCCCTGTCTTATTCCAGCCCAGAGCAGGACAGCAGGTGTGTATGGGTGGGTTGGGGGACCTGTTAATCCAGTTCTGAGTGATTCGGGCCTTGGGCAGGATCAGCACAGAGGTGCACAAAGCTGGGCGCCAGAGACACTGCTTGTAGTCAAGTGCGGCTCTGTTCCTCCCTACCTGGGCAACCCTGGCCAGGCAGCAAATTTTCTGGGTCTCCCCTTCCATGGTGTGCTGGTAAGTGTGTAACAACTGGCTCTCTAAAAAGGGAACCCGGGAGGGGGAATCTGCTAGGCAGCCTCTGCCAATCTCCATGGTGTAAACTCCTGCTTGTGGCCGATGTCACATCACCTCTCAGAGCTGGGAAGAGATGTGCCGTGACCCACCATTGTGTGGTTCTTTCCCCTCAGAAAATATAACATGATTAACCATCAGAGCACAGATAATAAAGTAGTAAAATAAGTAGGAAGTGATGACGTTTGAAAACGTATTGTCTGGTTTTAATATAAATTATTTAATAGTAAGTTTATATAACTTAGTTTTTAACAATGGTTGCATCTAACAACCACTCGCACGATTCCTGAAAATCTAACAATCGACTCTCATGAGCCAGTAGGAGCCAGCTCCGGCACGCCAACTTCCTCATCTGTAAAATGAAGATAAAAATAGCAGCTCCCCTGGGCTCCTACTGGAGTCCTAGWTGAGATAACATGGGTAAGGTGCTTCACGCCCTGCCCAGAGCTGGCCAGCCCGGTCAACACTGGGCCCTTGTGTAGATCAGTCACAGCCGGATATTATTTCCTCAAATCTAGAAAAAGAATGTTTTCCTGCTGAACCTGCCTCCCAGGAACTGCCTGAGATCAGATTAGGATGTGGGCAGGAAGGAGATTTCAGGGGCATCAGGATTTACACACGTTAGGGCAGAGGACAAATTGCTTTCTCTGTGCCTGTCTGTGCCAGGTGGGGGGTGGRTGGAAAGATCAGAGTAGGGGATGCCCCCTGTCTAATCCCATCCATAGGTTGCCCCACTTAAAGGGCTAAATGGCTGGAGAACCAGCAAGGAGCACCACGTCCCACCCGGATWGTGAACCGAGGTTTCATGACGGCAGTGATGTCCACGCTGGGCACTGAAGCGTGCATAGGAGTTTACTGTGATGACAGACCTCAAGTCAACAGTATGTACTAAAATGTAAATTCCAGATCTTCTGAGCAGTACCGTATAAGGGTTGGTGGGGCGTAATGCCTATTGCTAATACCTATACTTATCATTTCTGAAACACTGTAGGCGAGGCCTGGGACACACCCTCCACCTATTCACAATTTTCTCTGTGGATTCTCACTATTATCTTCATCTTACCAAGGAGACAATAGAGGCTGAGAGAAGTGATGTCACACAGTGAGTGTGGCYGAGACAGAATTTAAACCCCAATTTGGCTGACGCCAGAGTCCTTCCTCTAAATCACACCACAGGCTTGCCAGACTGGGAAGGGGTAAGGTCCCAGCTGATGTGCCCAAGGTCAGAGAAAGGTCAGGACACGCTGGGGACAGCAAGGATATGGGTTGGGCTGTGGCATGGGAAGGCCATGGAGGAAGCAGGGRGAGATGAGGCCCTGAAGACCAGKACTAGGTCTGGGTTCTAGAACCATGGTGTGCTCTCTTCTTCCCCAAGAAGGGGGCACTTCGAAAAGCACACACCGGGTAAGCAGAGGAGGCTGAAGCAAGTAACCCAGGCCTTGGCCAGACTCTGGGTGCCCTGCTCCATCCCACTCTCAGGCCCACAGGGCAACAGAAGAGAGCTTCCCCCTTCTGACCCCTGAGCTTCTGCCTGCTCATGTGGACATGGATAGGAATAGCCGGAACCATGGATGGACTCCTTTCAGAAGCAGTACGCCCTGCCCCCACCTACCAGCCCCAGCCTGGCCAAGGTCACCAAGCATCTGCATGCCTTTAGCTCACCTGAACCCCATCATTCTGTCCCCATTTTACAGATAGGGCCACTGAGGCCCCAAAGGGTACAAAATTTTGCCCCAGATGACATAGACGGCCTGCCCCGCTGTGTCTTTCCCTTGGAGACAAAGAAATCCAGAGTCAGGAGGGAGATTGAGTCCATCTTTGTAGCCTCACCCACCACTACCCCACCCCACCCAGCCCCACACAGGAGGGAGGACCCCCTGCCAGTCCTCAGGGGGACCTGGTACTGTAGGGGTAGAGACAAGAGGAGGAATTTTCCTGGCAAAGGAATTGTACCTGATGGGGACCGCAGAGGCTCATTCAGCCAATAGGCAGCTCTGCAGGAAATACACTGGCCCAGGCCAGAAGCTTCCCCAGCCTCCCCCCCCCATGCCCATCCCCCAGCCCGTGGTCTTTGTTTGTTGGGGGGAGCTTTCTGGCCAGACTGGCTGCCCTACCACCTGATTTGGGTAGGGGTGGCTTTCCCAGCAGTTCCCGCAGGAGGACATCCTGTGGCCAGGGTGTGGGGAAGCCCTGCTCAGCTCACGTGTGCTGAGCCCACAGGTCTAGGACAATGGAGCCGCAGGGCAGGACGCCAGGCCAGGGGGGCAGGGCCACAGGCAGCAGGGTGGGAGGGGAGAGCCTGATCCAGCAGTGGGAACTTGGGCTCAAAGCCTCACTCCCTCTTCCTCACGGGCTGGCCCAAGGCCATCAGAAACACAGGGGGCCGGACAGGGTGCTATCCACCTCCCCCGGTAGTCCCAAAGTCCAGGGTGCAAACAGCAGCCAGAAGCTCAAAGCACCCGCACAGGGGACTCAGTGTCCTTGTAGGCAGCCACCCAAGACTCAGTCCATGGTAAGGGAAGCCACCCTCACCACATACCTCACATGTGGCCTGTTTGAACTCAGAAAGTGGTCCTAGGGTTGGGATGGAGCTCAGTAACTGAATGCATGCTAACAAGTGCAAGGCCCTAGGTCCAACCTCAGCACTAAAAAAAAACAAACAAAAAAAAACAATGTGGTCCTGGTCCTGGAGCAAGAGAGGGCAATATCTGAGCTAGGAG